TTCATGAGGCCGTCTTTTCCTTTCATATAAAGTAATCATTCTTCTTTCACCCGAAATTCGAATTCAATAATTTTAAATGCAATTCTAATTTTGTCAAATAAAATTAGTTTAGTTGATAAAGATAAAATATTTCACTTGTATGATTTATATTCGATTTTTATCATCAATAATACCTTTTGATGAAGAATCTATAAATTCAAGTAACTCATCGTCTATGGTATATACCTTGACCCTAAAATAAAGTATCTCCCCTCATGTAAACTTTTTTCAACAAAAAAAAAAAAGCGATCTTAATCTTAAATACTATTTAATCTTAATTATAATTAAAATGTAATACTCTTTTTGTCTTAAATTGTTTGAGTATTATGATTGGCTTTCATGGAGTTTAAGAATAAAATTTAACTTTAATATATTTAATATTAAAAGTTAAAATTTTTATATATTTAAATTTCATGATTTTTGATACCAAAAAATAAAAAAGATGTTAACATATAATTTTAAAATATAAAAAATAAAAATTTTATTTGTTAAAAAAATGTAATTTTGGAATATAAAAAAATGAATAAAAAAAATGAGATTGATGGAATAATATATAGAAGTGATAACTTAGGACAAAGCATTGTGAATAAAACACCCTAACAATTCGATGATTTAAAGATTTTCAATTTAGGGAGGTTTTCTATTCAAAAATTGAGACAAGTATGCACAGATTCATGAAATAAAGAAAATGCTATTTTTAATTTAATGAGGTATTTTATATACATAAAAAAAATGATATATTACATCTAAAATATATTTAGACTCGAGATATGAAATTGAATTGTTTCTTGGAAATCGGAAACTCCATGGCAATCAAATAACCAAATTCAAAGAAGCTCCCTCTATTCTTTTCATTTGCATATCTTTATCACAGACAACAGATTTCTTTTTGGGTAAAGAATATTTTCTAAACCAAACTTTTTTCCGAATAATTAAAAAGAAAAATATAATTCATTTATTCACTATTCATCTCTATCTTTTCTGTACCCCTAGGAATAGTGCTACAGAGTCTAGATCCTCGACTAGATAGAAGGATTCGATTTCCTATGCCTTACGTCTGAAAAAGGTAAATTCACCCACAGTAACAATCTGTGGAACAGGCCCTTTGCTTTTTCCCCCAGTCTTAATTTTAAATAAAATATTGACTACAACAACAAGGCCAAGGGGCATTACTCTCCTCTCTCTAGCTGTATATATAAGGACTGTAGGCTGAACATTTGGTTCCGCAACTGTCTGAAAATATTGTTGATGACCTTGAGCTTAAGAGAGTAAAATTTTGAGAACATTGCCTCTTTTTGTCTATGGCTGTAGGTTCTTGTTGGCTCGTTGTTTTGGTAATTGGAGGGGTTTTAGGTTTTTCGTTAAGTCTTGTCTTGAACCATTTCTTGCCTTTGCTCCTCAAGGGTGGCCTTGTCCCAAAGGGGACTTTTGGATGGCCTTTACTTGGCGAAACATTTAGTTTCTTAAAGCCTCACTCTTCCAATTCTGTGGGGGCATTTCTTCAAGACCATTGTTCTAGGTAAGTATATACATAAATATAATATACATGCTTTTGTATATATTTCCTGACGTTGGTTTCACTCTTCCAGCTGTGATGATCATTCAGTTTCCTGTAAGCATATGCATTTTCTTTTATTTATTTGTTATTTGTCAGTTACTTGGGGATGAGTATCATTAAAAGAAAAAAACAGAAAGAGAGAGAAGAAGAAGAATTAGTAAGAATGATTATATGTGGTCAACTAATGAAAAAGAGAATTTTGTTATGAAATTTTCAGATATGGGAAAGTGTTCAAATCCCATTTGTTCTTCTCCCCCACCGTTGTGTCCTGTGACCCAGAGCTGAACTATTTCATACTACAAAATGAAGGCAAGCTGTTTCAGTGCAGTTATCCAAAGCCTATCCATGGCATTCTTGGCAAGGTTTCCATGCTGGTGGCAGTAGGTGAAACTCACAAGAGGCTCAGAAATGTGGCCCTGTCTCTGGTCACCATTACCAAATCAAAGCCTGAGTTTCTCAATGACATTGAAAGGATAGCCATTCACATACTTGACTCGTGGAAAAATAAACCAAAAGTTATCTTCTGTGAAGAGGCTAGAAAGGTAATACCATTGATTTTAATAAAAGGAAAAACATTCTTGCAAAAAAGTAATATTAAAGAATCCATTCATATATTCTAATGTAAAGTTTGTTTCTATTCCTTTCCTTTGTCGACTTTTCGTTCCACAGTTCACATTCAATGTAATAGTAAAGCAAGTGCTAGGGTTGACACCAGAGGAGCCAGATACTTCAAAAATTCTAGAAGATTTTCTCACTTTTATGAGAGGACTTATCTCTCTCCCACTCTATATTCCTGGAACCCCATATGCAAGAGCTGTTCAGGTACTCAAAAGCTTGATTATGTTCTCTCTTTAACTATATATATATATATGTATATATGCTCAAAAGAAAAAAGAAATGTTTTTGATAGCTTTGTTTACTAAATAATTAATGAAAAATATATAATATTTATTGTGATTTAATCATTTTAGAGAGTTATAGCTCTATCTCCTTTTCTTTTGCTGCAAAAAGAAAGCATGTGATCACCTTTAACTTTGACTATCTTTACAGGCTAGAAGCAGAATATCTTCTACTGTCAAAGCAATTATAGAGGAAAGAAGAAGAAATCCTGATGGGAACTCTAAGAAAAGAAGTGATTTCCTTGAAATCCTTCTATCAGTTGATACCTTATCTGAAGATGAAAAAGTGAGTTTTGTTTTGGATTCTCTTTTGGGTGGCTATGAAACTACTTCCCTTTTAATGTCCATGGTGGTTCATTTCCTAAGCATTTCTCCAACTGCATTACAACAGTTGAAGGTAACGCACCCTTTAATTTTCCAATACCATGCCCCGCATTAATTTCATGAACTCTTATAAAAATTATTAACTCTTTTCTTCTGAACTATATATAGCAAGAACATCAGAAAATAAGAAGCATGAAGCAGAAACATGAGGATCATTTGGATTGGGAAGATTATAAGAAAATGGGTTTCACTCAAAATGTAATAGAAATTTCTTTCTTATATAATATTTTCTTTTCATTACTTTAATTTATAACACAACTTTTCATCTAATACCCCATCAAAACAAAAAAAAAAAAATTTTTCTTCTGACACCCTTTTTCTAGCATGTTTGCAATAATGATGTGATTTCATAACTTTTTTTTTCTCTATGCATATTCTTTTTTTTTTCTTTTTCCTGTTTGTAGGTCATCAATGAAGCTCTGAGATACGGTAACATTGTCAAATTCGTTCACCGAAAGGCTCTCAAAGATATCAAATTTAAAGGTTTTTATTTAAAATATATATAATAATGTTATTAGTTCTGAAATAAGTGTATAAATATACATACACACACACAAATGATTGATTATGTTCCAATATAATCATGCAGTGAATGAGCTTTTGTACATTAGTTTATTATCTGTATGAGACATAAGACCCAATTTTTGTTTGTATTAATTTTTGCTTTGATCAGGTTATCTAATTCCATCTGGCTGGAAGGTCCTGCCTGTTTTCACTGCAGTTCATTTAGACCCATCTCACCATGCGAAAGCTTCCCAGTTCCATCCATGGAGATGGGAGGTAATCATTCATCATCAACCTCAAAAATCTTCTAGGACTCGTGTCCTAATAAAATGGGGCATCCATGGCCTGATCTAAGTTATATGGCTGAAGGTGTCCATTTCCCCAACTTTCACTCAAATTATCCTAGCCTCTATTTTAAGTTATATAATTTGAACTTTCATGTTCATTTGGAAAAAGCAAATTAAACAATTGGACTCTAAAATCTTTAGCGCAAATGCAAAAGTGATCATTTATAATCATTCCCATATAGAAAAATAATATTTATAATGGTAAAAAAATTCTTCTTTCTTCTATTTCTTTAATTCTGAAAATGAAGTTCTGATTCTGCAATTATCCCTCTTGGAAATTTTAATCTTTTTGTACTTTCGAATAGCATTATTTTGTTGAAATTGGAGGTGAGGGACCTTATATATTTTTGGACAAGGATGATGGCTTTTCATCTCAAGTTGGGAGATATGCAGCATTTGTTAGGTTATGAAATGGTCTTTTCATTGTACGTTCTGGCCATGAAAGAAAAGGGTACACTAGACCTAACATAACTTACAGTGGATTAAAGTTCAGCTTCTCCAGATTGACCAACAATGATTGAATATACATTGGCATATTAAAAAATGCTCAAACTTGTTGATTTAGAGAGCTTTTCGAAATCAATGTTTGATAAATATCTAGAACTGATTCCTTATTGAATTTCTCGTGGTTTGACTTGAAATGAACAGATCATATGATTTTTTGTTTTTAAGTTTTCAGGATTTGATCTTTGATTACTGTGATTTAGGGACTAACACTCTATCAAAAGATTATATAACTGTTGGCGGTATCATATGATTTGTAATCTGTTTGTTGTTTAAAAAAACTGATAAAATGAAAAAAATGTGACATGTTTATCAATGTGTGACACAGAGCCAGGATCCCAAATGCAAGAAGTTTACACCCTTTGGAGGTGGGTCAAGATGCTGCCCTGGATCTGACCTAGCAAAGGTTGAGGTTTCTTTCTTCCTCCACCACCTTGTTCAAAACTTCAGGTAATTTCTTTCATATCCAGTAAAAAAGCTAACTGTTTCAACTTTCAAATAAAAGAAGGTAAACTCCCAATTAACTTTAGGTGCATGGTATATTTTTGTACTTAACATGAAAGTGTTTGGTCCAAAATTTGTAGGTGGAAAACAGAAGAAGAGGATAAACCCATAGCATATCCATTTGTAGAATTTCAAAGAGGATTAGTTCTAAATGTGGATCCTTGTTCTGAAACTACCATGTAGGGCTTGGCTTCCTTCTGGGTTGAGGATGAGGGCTGAGATTCATAATGCTCATGTTTTTAATCCTCTCCTCTCCTTTTAGCGACTTTTTTGTGGGCAAAAGAGCTCCTTTCTTGAAATCCTTTGAAGGCTCTCTTTTCCATGTTGTAACATATGTTATATATGTAGTGTTTTCCTCTCTTTGTCAGGTTTTCGTATATAATGAATAATGATCATATTATGTATAAACTTTATTTAGTTTTGTTGCTATTGTTATTGTTGATATTTTTACTAGAGAACTGTTGCTATTGCAGCATGGAACCCCTGGATATGGAGTTCAATATAAGAATAAGAGAGAGAGAGAGGCCCATCTAGTTGGATTTCTTTTTTTTCCCAATAATTATTTAGTCAAATATAACAGGAGGGCCTTGAAGAATAATATAGAATACATTGAAGGCCGTGCCAAAGTAGCTAGGTAGCAATCAAAGGGTTAATCCAAAGATTCAAACTTAAAAGCTAGCCAAGCAATCTTTGACAGTGTTTAGACTGCCTTTACTACTATAGGACTCCTCACATGGTGTACATGGTCTGACCATATCAGCTGCCCATATACATATTCCTTAACTGCATGAGCTTTCTTGACCTTCAGGGTAACACTGAATGTCTTCTCTTCACCAACCTTTTTGAACTGCAATTTTTTGGGCTCAACACAAACCGAAATTCCGATGGGTCTCTGCACTTGAGCTCTGTAAGTACCTGGGGAACCAACATTTTTAACAATCCTAGTCAGTGTAATGGATCCAACAAGGTTAGGGATTGTGATTGAAGGGTAGTTGAAGTTGGCAAGACTAATTGGCTTGGGGCATTTGTAGGAGTTCTGTGAGAAAGTTGAAATTAGTGTTTCATTGTACCCCAAAGTGCATAGAAAGTTTAGGTAATCAGTAGCTGCTAAGTCATAAACAAGTCCAGGATCCATAGCAAGGTTTGGTTGTATGTGCCCTGCTCCATAGCTGAATGGCCCTGCTTTCATATTTGATGCATTTATAATTGGCTCCTTCAAGTTATCAAACGTGGTTGCTGCATCATAGGGGACAAAAAGATGAGGATTATTCTGCAATCTTACTCTGAAAGAAGGTTAAAGAACTTCAAGCCAACTATTTCTTCCTTAAGGAACAAGTTTCTTACCAGTGGTCATAATAGCTGATTTAATTGCTGCAGGACTCCACTTTGGATAAAGGGTTTTAAGAAGGCCAACAATGCCTGAAACATGAGGACATGACATTGAAGTGCCTGATACAGAGTTAAATTGAACTCGGCGCTTGTCAAAATCTTCATTTGTTGGCCCTTCTGCTTCCGTATACGCAGCTATCACACTGACACCTGGTGCAGTGATATCAGGCTGAAAATGGGAAACTAAATACTAAGTACCTGATTTAAATTAGCAGAAGTGTTGGAAAAATATGTAGCTACTTGTAGTAAGTACCTTGATGATATCAGGTGTGATGGTGTTGGGTCCCTTTGATGAAAATGCTGCCATGAAAGGGGCTGGCTTTGTGCCAATTTGTGTGGTTGCAGGAGAAATATATGCAGTGGGATTCCTGTTCCAGATATCCACAAATAGTCAGTGGACTTGTAACACTATTATCATATAAGCTCACTGGATGCCTTGGTAAAAATAACAAATTTATTGGTTAGTAATCGTACATTGTTAAATTAATATAAGTGAAAACAGCAAGACCATCAGTGTAATTGATATGGGAAGCAGGAAGGACATGAGCATCGGCAAGAATTTCATTCCCTGTGAGAATGTCATTAGCAAGAACCATGCCAACAGCTCCAGCCAGAGCTGCTTGCTGACCCTTGTCCACTCTTGCATTCTGGCCTCGAAGACATACCAAGATCTTTCCTGTTGCCTTTTTAGGATCAATGGCTCCAGCCTGACATAACGATCTGCATTATTTTTACAAATTAGCATGTATTTGCAGAAGATGTGAGGTGGAGATACATATATTACCGACTGAAGTGTTAAAACAGTTGGTGTAACTGAAACCAAGGTACCACTATTTAGAAGTGTTTGATCCTTACGCATTTTGAATTGATGCATTAGCTGCCTTGGTATCCGCTGCACTTATAAGTGGGAATAACTTGTTTGGCAAAACTTTAACCGATAAACTTTGTCCCTGCAGAAAGGAAATAAGTATTGATAAGTTCCTTTCTTAAGTTACCTTAGCATTGGCATCATTTTCCTTTTTTCTTCAAACTTCCTCCTCATTTTCAGTTACTAGAGCTGAAGGGAGGGGAAAGTAACCTTGTAGTGCATATTGTTGCCGAGGACAACAATACTAGGGAATTCCCTATCCATGGTGCTGGCTCCAACCGTGATCTGCCATGGTGCAATGTTGGAGACGGTACCATCAGCAGGTCCTGAATTGCCAGCTGAGCAGACCACAACAATTCCATGCTTGATAGCATGAAAAGAGCCAATTGCAACGCTGTCATTGAAAAAGGGAGTGGGATCTCCCCCAATTGACACAGACAGCACATCAACTCCATCTTGAATGGCCACATCAAAAGCTGCCAATATATCTGCATCAAAGCATTCATTTCCTCCAACTGGTGGCCAGCAAATCTTGTATGCTGCTACTCTGGCTCTCGGTGATCCTCCTTTCGCTGTTCCTTTGCCAAAGCCAAAAACACTTGCGTTGGCTACCAAGTTACCCCCAGCAGTTGATAAGGTATGCGTTCCATGACCTTCTTTGTCACGTGGTGTATCAAAGGAAGAGTTGAGTTTGCCAACAATAGCAGCATACCCTTTGTTGAAGTACCTTGCTCCAATTAGCTTCCTTTAACGTGAACACAGCAATTTAGGTACTAATATGGTTTAGATACAGACTTTACAAACCTAAACTACCTCCAGGAAAAGGGACAGTAGCTGTTCCAGGATCGAAAAGACACCATTATAAGACAGTGGCTGGATAAAAAAAAACATTCCCACCCAGAAGATAAAGGCGGAAAACAAATCAGAACAATGACAGAAAGGGAATATCAGAATCAGAGAAAGATGCCAAAGAAGTGTTTTCGTCTGAATTTTTTTTATGCATATGCAACTGTGCCTGTGCACAAACGCACATGCCACACAAGCAGCCAGAAGCTCTGCTGGTAGAGTGACTTGGAAAAATGAACCATATTAATGCAGACTGTAGGGGACCTAATATGCTGGCTGGCTCTTGTGTATCTCAAAGTTTTGTGGATTTGTCCAAGAACATGAACCTTGAATCTTAAGCAATTCCATGGCTATCAAATTAAATTATATCTGATAACTTTTTATGGTAACATAAACAATTCTTTGCTGTCTTGCTTTTAGGCTACAATGTCTTACCGAGTATTAACCATAAGAATATCAGATTAAATATTATGTAAGTGGTGCCTAAGATGGAAGCGTAATGCAAATTGCTTCATTGTTTGAAAATTTTCAAACAGGTTGTAATAAACAATAAACAAAAATTTTCAGAATATAATCAGTTTGTACATAACATTATTCCTGATGCCACCAAGAGATGAATTATATTGAAATCATTCAGGTAATAGCTAATGTGGTTTATATCCTTTTCACTCACTAACTCTCAGATAAAGTGGGTAACGCCAGCTCTACCACGAAACTCCAAATGAATGTGCTTTTTTTTTCTGATACTGGTCCTCCTCCACCGTCCAATTGGAACTGAATATTATACAGTACCAAAAATTACCCCAGCACAGATTCTTTATGGGTTGACAACGATGAAGATATTTGGACAATTAAGGCCTAGATTGTGATAAATTACGCAGAAATTAAGGGTTTAGACAAGCGTTTTCTTAAGACATTTACTACACAAAAGTAATAAGAGGCAGTAACCTTGGCATAGTCGATATTAATGTTCAAGGTAAGACAACAAAATCAACATCATCATCAAAAAGTAAACCATGGGCGTGGGTTGAAAGGTGGGGTTAGGGGAAATGACAGACCTATTGCAGTGAAATCCAGCATCTTGGTCATTTTGACAAATTCCCTTCCACTTCGATGGAATCGGTCCATACCCATCATCGCTGAAGCTTTTTGATTCAGGCCAGACACCTAGCATCATCCCATTGAACATGCGTTGGGTTAAGAAAGTCAAAACCCTTGATTGTAAAATACAATTAAAAATATGGTTTCTTGCTTTGTTGCAATTTTAATCCTTATCCATATTGTTTAAGGGTTTTTCTATACATCACATTTTCTCTATAAATTGTGTCATTTTCCTCTATTGTAGTTCAAATGTCATAGCTTTCCCGTGGCTCTTCCTATCACTATCACCTTATGACTTATGAGAGTAGCTTGCAAAATGAAGGTAATTGCAGGCAACACGAAGCGTATTCGCCAACAAAATTAAACTGCAATCATAAAAATTTATTAATAAAGTCAAACTTTAAGAGTAATACAGTCTTTTTCTCCATTACACTTGCCGGTAGTTAGCTTCCCCGAATGAAACCCTTTTTTTCTCTATCCTTACTAGGATAGTCTGCTTGTATACCATCATCTATTGATAAAATATTAAATTTTTAATTAAAATAATTACGATTCAAATTCTTATAGATAACCTCAAATATATAAAAAAAAAAAATACAAGAGTAACTTTTTTTTTTTAATTAAAGATGAATTCGAATCCTATTTCGAAAGCAAGGATGATGCATTAATCAAAGGAACCAAATGCTCGGACTTAAAATTAATGCGGTCTTTAATAACCTTGTGAATGAGTTGATTAAGAATACGAAAGCTGCCGTATGAATAAATAAGGACAAAGAACTCTTGCCAATGCAACAGCTAGATTAGACATTTCTAATATGGATGCATGGTTGAGGCTGAAGGCCATCAATTTAATGAGCCTGTCGTCATGCATGAATGTCAAAGAATGCAGCAGGGGCGCGGGTTGGGAAAAAAATTCAAAATCTACCAAATTCCAACTGTGTCTAAGATTTGTTTAAACCGTTTTGTCATTTACATCATTATCATAACTACTATATGTTTATGGTCAACTATTCACATTAAAAATTATTACTGTGCTAGATCCAATCTTCATTCATTGGTAAGTAGAGTTATATGGGGACGCAGTTAACTGAAAAACAAACAACATTGTTTGTCCAGAGCGAGAAGGAAAAGAAAAAAATGTTTAGATTAAGAGGGAAGCTGAAAGTGACTTACCGGTGTCAAGGTTTCCGATTATTGTATCTTCTCCATATCTGGCCTTGTTCCAGATTGAGTTTGACGAAACCACACCGTTCTGCTCCAAACCAAGGAATTCCCACGAACGCGTTGTGTGTAGTTTTCTTCCCTTGTTCACGAAAATTGAAACTACTTTCGGATGCCCTGGAAAAAAGTTGCAACAGTTTCACAGTTACCAGCAGTTCTGGAGAAAATTGAAAACGATAAAAAAAGAAACGAACGGAAAGAAAACAGAGGAGAAAGGGATATGGTCTCACTTGCTATCTTAGCTGCTACTTCCTCTTCTAAATCTGCAGCGAAACCATTGATATGTCTTGTATAACAGTAAAAGATAGCTTCTCGCGCGTCATCGCTACTGTTTGGGACAAATTCAAGAATTCAAATAAGGCTTCAAATATGTTATTCGAGAAAACAGATGAGAAAGCGTCAACTCAATCTACTAAATCCATCTACCTTCCCAAGAATGATCCAAGAAACTCGTAGTGTGATTCCGTCACAGTATCCAGATCAACCGATGCAGATTCGAGTCCATGTGAGTGTTCTCCCAAGTATACCACAAATGACTGCATTAACATACAAGAACAGTTAATGGTTTTTCAATAATTATAGGAACTACCATAAAGAAATATATTAATGGAAGAAAGGGGTTTGAAATGCTTAACCTTTTTGGCAGCAAATGCAGGTCTCTGCAAAAGAAAGAAAACAATGAAAGAAACCAAACAAAGGGTAGCATTTGAAAGCCTCATTGCTTTGCCTGCTACCTCTTTTAGCAGTGTGCTTGTTCTGTTTCAGCTCTGTTTCACCCCTGTTTCTTTATATAGTAAGAATTGAACAGGAATTTGGGAGTCATATATATAACATTGTCTTCGAAATGATAAAAAAATGTCAGATATGACTTCTTGTGCACAATGTAAACTTAATTCTTACTTTCTTAAGAAAAATGTGGGGGCTTCCATGTGGACCTTGACAGTGAAATTTTCATGAATAAATATTATAACTTGAAGGGGATATAATTGATAAACTTCAAGAAGATAGAGAAGATTGGTGGAATCTCAAGTGTTTTAACCTTAGTTGCATCCGATATGTTTGATGAAGATGACATAATTGGCCAATAATGAACTGGCCCACAGGATTTTTTTTTTTTTTTTTATGTGTGAGCATTGGTGATGGCCTGATGGGAAGGATGGATGGGAAGGCTGGCAGTATGAGACAGTTGGCCGTCCGTTGGGGCCACTTCAACACTCATCCTTGGATAAGATGCTTTTGTCATCTCTTGTTAGGCTATGAGTAACTCGTAAGCATTTGTCAAGTTTGTTTTCATGTTGATGAAAATGTATATGAAAGCGGACTCCACAATGAGTGATAATATTGAAATTGTTAGTGGATAGCAATATTGAAATTGTTGGAACACTAGACCAATAGAATCAGGGAACTCTAATTTCATAATAATGAAAAAAAAAACACTTATTTGTAAAAATTAAGGGTATCAATGTCATAGTTATGAATGATCATCTAATAAATTTAATATTCAAATTTCAATATTTATAATTTTTTTTTTTTTTTTTATGTTTGGATTAAGATCTTCGTTGAAAAAATATCTATAGAATTAGACTTAGAGACTAGAGGGCGAGAAGAAAGAAACGAAAAGACATGATTGGTGAGATTTATAAGTAACATAACTCGGTAGGAAAAACATTAGATCAGCATCAATTATCTGCTTTTAGCTTTGAGATTAATCTGAAAATGAAGGCTTATGTTTTTTGTAACACTTTTTTTCCCCTTCTTTTCATTGCATTTTGGGTTTTGTTTTGGGTGATTTCAAGTCAGCGCTGAGGTGGGTGAGTGATTTTCATTCTTTCTCTGCCATTGACTACAGTAGGCGAAATATTGGGCCAAGTCAATTCTAATATTATGGCATCACAAACTTCTGTAGCAAAACAAGGTGGCGGTTTTTGAACCCTGTGGCGCACCATTTCAGCTGGTATAAGAGAATGAATTCATCTAATGAACTTTTGTTTTACCTCTATATTAATAAGTTTTAAGTCTCATTGTAAAACATAAGTTATTATAATAAAGTTTTCATCATTTCTTTTTTTTCATGATTTCAGAGCGATTTCATAATTCATTCCGAAAGTGAATCACTTTGAAATAACTAATATTTGCTCATTCTAATTCTTGGTTGATTTTCATTTTTAACTTTATTTTTGTTTTTGCGCTTCAATTTTTTTTTAGGTTTTTTTTTCACATATTCAATATTCATCTTTTATATCAATACTCTAACTTCTCACGTCTCCATTTCATTTTTTTTTTCAAAAGCTTAATGGCAAGTATTTAATGAGAAAATATACAACCAATTTTAATTATCCTTAATTTTGGAAATAACTACAATCGATGGGCAAAGGCTATCGTAGTTATTTAAAAGGAATAAAATTATGACTTGTTGTTACTGGAGAACACAAAACTGTCGAACGAAAAGAAGAAAAATTCATTGATAAATTTACAGATCAACTGGAGGAATGGAAAAGTTAAAATCATTGAATTCTTACATGGTTCACTAACACCATAGTTTCTTCTATCAATGTACATTTTGGATGATTTGAATTTGCTAAAAATGCTTGAGAATTTTGTCACACAATACAGCTCTACTACCTTTACTTATCAATATCATATTTTGATCACTTTATCTCGCTTTCATAAAAAATCAGGTCAGTCGATTGATGATTTTCATTCTAAAATGCAATATTTATGGGACATGCTTGAAAATTCTAAGCCAAAATTCAAGGATGAAAATGATGCTGATAATTTTATTACTTATAAAAATCAAATTTGTCTTATTCAATTTCTAATGGCACTTCAAGATGAATTTGAGAATACCAGATATTCACTTTTGGGTCGATGTCCTTTACTAACTATGGATAATGTTATTATGGAATTGATATATGAGAAAACTCAGTTAGGTATAAGTCATACTTATAGTGCTGATATAATTATTGTTACTGCTCTTTAGAAAAGTACTAGCTTTACTTTTCACAAGTTTTATTCACGATGTGGCAGGACTAATCATCCCGTTCATAAATATAGAGCTAAATATCATTGTAACAGTAATCTAATTCATGATCCTCACACTAACAAGGCTGCAGTAACAACCACTGAACCAAATACTTTTGAGTCTTCTTTTAATACCATTACAATCTCCACCACTGATCTTTAATCTTTGTTCAATTAACTATTATCTTGATCTCATGTTCCTGTCATATCTGCTGCCACATTAGGTAATATTTGGTTGTTTGATACTAGCTATGGAAATTATATGAGTGTTGATCAATTTTTGTTCAAAAACAAGATACCCATACCTAATGGTCCAATTATTAAAACAGCAAATGGATCTATCTTAAAAGCTAGCCACATTGGTAATATTGAAATCTAAAAAATGTGTATATCTGACACTTGTTCTTAATCTTGCCTTAAATTTGCTTTCTGTTGACCAACTTTGTGACCTTGATCTTAATTTGTATTTTTCACTATGATATGGTTGTATTGTTTAGGATCCTTAAATAGGTCAAAAAGTTGGGACATGCATAAGGTTAGAACACTGTTTAAGCTTAAAACTTTGAAAATTTCACAACATTTGATTACTGCTGCTACATCTTAAACAATCAATTCTTTGGTTTCTTTAGATTTATGGCATTCTAGGCTAGGACATGCATTTATTTCTCGAATAAAGTCACTTGCTTCTACTGGTGTCTTAGGTAATGTTTCTCATAATATTTTTGATTGTTTGTCTTATCAACTTGGAAAGTAAAGTGCTTTACCATTTAATAAAAGTGATTATATCTCATATACTCTTTTTGATTTAGTCCATTCTGATATTTGGGGTCCAATTCTCACACCAACTTAAAGAGGTTTATGTTACTTTGTTATATTTATTGATGATTTCTCTTGTTATACTTAGATATATTTATTCAAACAAAAAACTAAACTTTTATCAATTTTTCATGAATTCAATAACATGATGCAAACTCAATTTTCTATAGAAATAAAAATTCTAGGTCTGATAATGCCATTACATATACATAAATTGAGTTTTGTAACTTGTTAAAGTATGATGGGACTCTTCCTCATAGGTCTTGCCCATATACTTCATAACAAAATGGTCGAGTTAAAAGAAAATATTGTCATATTCTTGAGACAGTTCCTACCTTTTTCATTTTCTCTTCCCTTCCTAAATATTTTTAGGGTGAAGTGGCTCTCACTGTTGTATACACTATTAATCGTGTTCCCACACCAGTATTAGACACACAATCTCCTTATGAATGTCTATACAATAAAGTACCTGATTACCTTTCTCTCAAAATTTTTGGATGTGTTTGCTTTGTTCTACTTTCTACTCATGAAAGGACTAAACTTAAACCTAGAGCTAGATTATGATATTTTTTGGGTTATGGTATAGAATATAAGGGATATAGACGTTATGATCCAGTGTCCAAATGTCTTCGCATCTCAAAAAATGTAGTTTTTTGGGAACATAAAAAGTTCACTAGTGTGTTCTCATTACATTTACCACGTTCTTTTTCATATATTTTTACAGATTCATCTTTTGATTTATTTTTAAATGAGGAGACTATTATAGGTACTTCTAACTTAAATAGTAATTCATCTTTTTTCACTTTTACTATGTCTAATATGACTGAAGCTTTTATTGATACAATTGTTCCTTCATTATACATATCGCTTCCTCTTATGTAGCAATAAGCAATAGCAAAAGAGCTTTTAGCTCTTAAGAAAACTCATACTTAGAATATTTTTGAACTACATTTTGATAAGTCAGTGATTGATCATAAATGGATCTACAAGTTCAAGATTCGATTTGATGGGTTAGTGGAACATTACAATGTTCATCTTATTGTTCAAGGATTTACACAATAATATAGCATTGACTACGAAAAGACTTTTGCCCCAGTTGTATGTCCTACATTTGTTTGTTCACTATTAATTGTTGCCACAGCTAAAAAATGGCCAATCTTTCAAATGGATATTAAAAATACCTTCTCGAATAGTGATCTTACTGAGAAAGTTTATATGAAGCCACCTCATGGTTCATCTATACCTTCTAACATAGTTTATCTTCTTCGACGTGCACTATATGATCTTAAGCAAGCCTCTAGAGCTTGGTTCTTGAAGTTTAGTACCACTGTTGCACAACTTGATTTTACATATAATAATCATAATTTTGCTCTTTTTACTTGTACTACTAAAAATTGTATTACTTTTCTCATACTTTATGTGGATGACATGATCATTACGGGTAATGATGCAAATGATATCCAAGATTTGAAGATTTTTCTTCATTTTAAATTTAAGATGAAAGATCTTGTCCTTTAAATTATTTTTTAGCCTTACAGTCACTAATGATTCTATTGACTTACATTTGTTTCAAACAAAATATGTTTCTAATCTTATTGCTTGAGTCGGTTTAACTGATAGTAAGATCGCATCATCACCACTTGAATAGAATTTGAAGCTTTCTTCTTCTGATGTTACACCACTTTCAGACCCTTTTTTGTATCGAACTCTGGTAAGTAATCTCATATATTTGACAGTTACTCATCCAGACATTGCCTATGTTATTCATTTGGTTAGTCAATTTCTGTTTGCTTATCGATTTACTCATTTTGTTGCTATCTTCTAGATCCTATGATATGTTAAGGGTACTATATTCCATTGTTTGCATTTTTTCTCTAGTTCCTCTTTGGACTTGTATTGTTATTGTGATGCTAATTGGGTAAGAAATCCTACTGATCGTCATTCTACCATAGGCTACTATTTCTTTTTTGGTTTTTTTCTTATTTCTTGACAAAGTAAAAAACAAATTGTGGTGTCTCGCTTTAGCACTAAA